AAAAAAAAAAAAAAAAAAAAAAATTGGCAATATCCTTTAGCTCAGAAATTCTACCTTCCTAAGTCACCACAAAAGAAAAAACTCAAAATGCAGAAAATGTGTGGTGCACTAAGATGATCACGCAGCATTGTTTAAAACTAAAACAAACAAAAACAAACAAACAAAACTAACATCCAAACAACAAGGAAATGATTAACCAAATTGTAGTACATTAACTCAATAACATATAATGTGGCCATTGAAATATTTAAGAGCAGTTTAGTATGTCTTGGGAAAAGTGTAAGCTATATTAATTTTAAAAATCAGAATAAAAATATTTGCATACTGGAGAATCCCAACTCTGAAAAATAAAGGGGAAACTAGTTAATTGTCATTTTCCTGGAGATTGAGGAGGGAGGGAGAGAAAATAATGGATGATAGTTTTTCTTCCTCCTTTTTCCACTACATTTCTGTATTTCCCAAGTTTTTGTACTAAGCACATGCAACTATTTTAACAAAAAAGTTATGTTAAAGAAAGCACATGCTGCTTCAGGTCTAGTTCTTCCTCCACATACTCACACATCATTCCCAAAGGCTGCTGTATTATGTCTGTATTAGCCAGCATTCTGCAAAGGAAGAGAAGCAATAGGACATATACAGACATAGGAAAGGGGATTTATGGTGGGAATTGGCTCACTCGATTTTGGAGCCTGAGAAGTTCCACCATCTGCCATCTGCATGCTGGAGACCCCAGGAAGGCCCATTCCACCTGAGTCCAAAGGCCTGAGAACCAGGAGAGCCAATGGTATAACTCCCTGTCGAGTGCAAAGAATCGAGAACCAGGAGCTTCACCGTCTGAGGACAAGAAAACGCAGGTGTTCTAGCCCAAAATGAAGGAGCAAATTCGTCCTTTCTCCTTTTTCTCCTCTTCATGCCCTAATGGATTGGATGATGCCTGCCCATGTGGATGAGGGCAGATCTTCTTAGTCTATGACTCTATCTCTAGTATCACCTGGAAACACCTCCCAGAGACACCCAGAAGTAATGTTCATAGCTATCTGGGAACCCTTAACCCAGTCAAGTTGACACCTAACATTAACCATCACAAAGTCTTATCCAGGAGGGGCATAAGGACCTGAAGCCACGGCTCAGGCCTGCAAACAGGAAAGGGTGGTTCTGGGAGCAACCCTGGAGGAAAAGCAGCAGATGGAAACTGAAGCAATCCCAGTGCTGCCGACCCCACCCCTGGCACCGCCACATCCTCCAGGGAAAATTCAGGGAGCACCTACTCAATACCGAGCTCTGAGACCGCAGTGATACACTAAAGCCAGCCTAGTCCCTATCTATGTGAGTTTTCTGGGTCTGCCATAACAAAGGATAACAGACTGGGCCATTTAAACAACAGAAATTAAAGTCCTCACCGTTCTGGTGGCTGGAAGTCTAGGATAAGAGGTTGGCAGGCTTGATTTCATTCTGAGGACGTTTCCTTGGTGTGTAGATCGCCGACTTCTGCCTTTGTCTTCACGTGATCTTTCTTCTGCGTATGTGTGTCTGGGGCCCAATCTCCTCTGCTTCTAAGGACACCTGTTATGTCAGATTGGATTAGGGCCCACCTTCATGACCTGACTTTAACTTAATCACCTCTTTAAAAACCTTGTCTCCAAAGACAGTCACAATCTGGGGTACTGGGAGAAACTGGGGTATCTTGGGTTAGGCCTTCAACATAAGAATTTGGGAAAACACATTTCAGCCCAAACCCTCGTGGAGTTGAGTCTAGTGAGAAGGTCATTATTATTTATCACAGAATAATGCAAATAAATGTACAATTGTAATGCCATGAAGAAAAGAGTACATTTAAGACATAGACTGGGGGGACTGATCAAGACTCAAGGGGCTGAGGGTAGCAGGAAGGATTCTTTAAGAAAGTCCCTGGGCCGGGCGCGGTGGCTTACGTCTGTAATCCCAGCACTTTGGGAGGCCGAGGCAGGCAGATCACAAGGTCAGGAGATCGAGACCATCCTGGCTA